CCCCCCCCCCCTTGCTGCACTGCAGCAACACTAAAGCTGGCGATACACCATGTGAATTTCGGCCGGTTCTCGATGAACCTGCCAAAATTCGCACAGTCGCCACCATTTCACCGGCATCCCCTGATCAGCTGATCAAAGGAGCCGGTTGGAAATTCTTCGAACGAACAGCCAATCAGCTGTCCACTGTCAGAATACAATGCAGACAGTGGGAGATTCCTCCATCAACGCTCATAAGCTCTGTTATATTTCCTTCGTTCAGCCCGCTGGTTGAACGAAGAAAATATAAGTGTATGGCCAGCTTAAAAAAAGGTCTGCTTCTCATCCTGTACATGGACAGTGAAAGGAAGAGCTCCTCTCTGTCACTGTTCTCTCTCTTCTGTCAGCATGCTCTTTGGACCATTGCACAACTGGTTGGCTCCTTGTGCTGCTTCTCTCTCCCTCAGTCTGAGATCTTACATCTGTACATTGACTGCAAGCAGCTGATATCAAGCTGAATTCAGATACTTGCATTGCTTGCATTAGAAAACCACATTTCATTTGGTATTACAGAGCTGCATTCATTTGTGGCTTTTAATATCTGCCTGCAGTTCATCTTAAGGCCTTGTTCACACCAAATGCAGACCAGATCCGGTCAGGTTTCTGCACACGCAGTGTAGTGGGTTGTGCCGCGTTTTAGACGCGTTTTGGATGCGTTTAGGGCCGGTTTTGGTTAAAAAAAAAAATATATATATATATTTTTTTAAGTTTAACATGGACTTTCAGGCACTTGCATGCGTTTTTGATGCGTTTTAGATGCGTTTTTGATGCGTTCCAGAGCAGGTAAAATAGGGCTTGCCGCATTATTTTCATCCGGTCTGGATCCGCACGCTGCGATGTGAACTGGAGGTCAAAATACCATAGGAATACATTGGACGCAGTTTTGATCCGGTCTGCACCTGCTCTGGTCCGGATCTGCTCCGCGCTTGGTGTGAACAAGGCCTTACAGGTCGGCTCAATAGATCGGGAAGTGAGCGAACACATACCGACGCTCGCTCACTTCTTGATCCTGTCCCTGCAGAGAGCCGTGACTGTCACGGCTCCCTGAAGGGATTCCCCTCCCCTGTCCGCCCCATCCGGCGGAACGGACAGGGGGAGGGGGCGTGTACAGCTGGCTCTGCCTCTAGATAGGCAGAGCCAGCTGTCACTCAAGCAGCTGGGTGGATCCAGACAGTAATGTCGGGATCCGTCCCAGCTGCGGCGTCTCGGTATACCGCGAGCTGTAGCTCGCGGTATACTGAGCTTTGGGTGACGGTAGAATGCTAGTTTGTGTCTTCCCGTTACCCTTAGGAGAACTATGGGGACCCCATAGTTCTCCTTTTAAAACACATTTCAACATGGCTGGCAATTATTTCAAGTGAACACAAGGTTTGAAATATTGAATAGTGGATTGTATAAGTGACAACATTCTACAGGAAACCAGGAATATCTTTTCAGTTTAACGAGGGCAGATAGAATATTGAGTACAAATGTTTAAAAACGAAAAACTGTTTACACTTGGAAATTCCAAGTTTATTATGACTTAAATGAAGATTAGATCACACATAGGAGGAAGTCTAGCAAAAAATCCCTACCGCTGCCCATACATGCAGATTCATTCCCCTTATCCACTTCTATGGGGGCAGGGAGGCTAGATCTATTCCACTGCGCATGCGGCGTAAACCCTGGGGGACCCGATGACGGAACTTAGTTAAGTATTCAGATGAGGAGAGTGGGTTGGATTAGCACTGGGGGCGGGGATGGAGGTAAAGAAACATTGAAAAAAATGCTGTTTGCATGGTTTCTTAAGAGTTTGCAAACTTTTTTTTTTTTTTTTACATCTATTGGTATTTTTTTTAGAAAGCATCAACATTTGTGTATACAGAGAAGCTTTGACTGAAATGAGGTCCTTGTCTGCTTCTGGTTAACCTTGGCATATTCATTGTTTGTTACATAATATAGGTCAATGCCGATTTTCTTTAGTTCTTGTTTCTTGACTTGTGTGGCTGCCAGTTATGGTGATATTGCATCTTTCTAATAAGCACATTTGCTTTTCTTTGTTATTCTTGCTTTGATTAGATGGAGGTGCTTTATTATATTTTTAGGTGCCTGGGCTGTCTTAAAGAAGAGCTCTGGGCAAAATTTGTCTTCACCCTTGGAAGTGGGGCTACCCTTGCACTGCAAAAGGGTTAACTGCCTGTTTTGGTCTAGGTATGAAAAAATAAAAAGTTGCACTCACCTGATCCTCATAGCCAGCTGGCTGTTAGACCGGTCCTTCCAGCCTCTTTCCCCCTCTGCTGCAGTGGTCAAAGGTCCTATTGGAAACAGTTGAACAAAACAGAACTGGGACCTTTTGTTAGTACCTGATCATTAACCCTTGGCTGGAGAGACCTAGAAGTGGTACATATTTAGGCCCCATTCACACCTATGCGTATTGTAATATGCGCGTCTGTCACGCGGTTTTTTTACCGCGATTCGCGGTAAAGTCGCGCGACCCCAAAGGCTACTTGGCAGTATACAAATGGAAAACGCCCTACAAAACGGACCAATACGCAGCAAAAAACGCTCCGGGACCTTTTCATGCGTGGGCCGTTTTGTAGTGCGTTCGGGACGGGCGGAAATACGGACAGGTGGGAACGATACCATTGACTACAATGCTATTTATTTTTTTGACCGTTTTGTAGAGCGTTCATCGAGCGTAGGACGCGCTACAAAACGGTCAGGTGTGAATGGGGCCTTAGTGTAATCGATCATTCTGAAATTTATTTTTCGTTGCGTGTGTTTAGGGTTTTAACAAGTGTCTGGAAATGCAAGTCAGAAGAAGTAGGTATGTGAGCTGTGATTGTTGATGAATATTGAAATGGGTGTAAATTTGAACTGCAAATTATTCTGCAAAGGTGGCCGGTTGTTTGGTTCTGACAGCACATTTATGTTAAGCTCTTAAAGTGACATTAAACCCTCAGATGTTTTAACATAAACCAATACTGTAATATGCGCCTTACTGTTTTAATTATATCAAGCAGTCATTGTGAATTAATCTCACTATTACTGCTTGATAAATTAATACATTTTTGGTTATTATTAGGCTGTTTCAAACTTCAGAACAGCCAATAATAAGTTAGTGACACTGATCCTGCAGCAGTTCAGGATTCAGCTGTCACTAAGGTTTTCTGAATGTTCCAACAACCATCAGAAAACTGAAACATTCTTTTTTCAGGAATAGATACATTATGTATCTATTGCTAAAAGTGAAAGAAAAAAAAAGCCAGTATAGCTTTAGAGTGATATCTCTAGATCTATACGAGCTGTCAGAATGCCGGCTTTTGCCGGTATGTTTGCCGCTCTGCTTTGACTCTCAGACACCCGATATTAAGGTATCAGGTGTCTGAAAAAGGTTAACCCTTTCATTAATGAATGCCTCTATACTGAGGCATCCATTAATGAATGGTAACCGCTTATTCTCAGCGGTTACCAGCCCTCTAATGCAGCAAATAACTCGTCACGTACAGTGTACGTGACGAGTCATTTGGTCCCTTTTGTGGTGGGACTCCCGTCACGAAGGAGTTAATGTCACTTTAAATATGCCATGTATTTTGGACTATGTTTTCATGCAGATTTGAGTGTGCTTTATCTTGCTTTCTGTGTATAAAAAAAAAAAAATACGTTTAATTTTGCGTTTTGCTTCATCTTTTATGAAAGGTGCATGTTTAGCCAAACTGCAGCTTGTCACATTTTCACAAAACCTGATATGGTTAAGACAGGATATGCAACTTTTCATTTAACGAAGTGGCTCTAGGGTGCTATATTTTCATATGTGGTATTTTAGGATTCATTTTGCTTCCATGAGCCTTACTGTGTATGTATGTGTATATATATATATGTAACAGCAATATAACTTTTTCTGTTCCTTGTAGGCTATCCCCACCTCGGAAGAACTGTGTACCATTCCTACATTCCTCTAAGTCACCTGGAATCCTCTACAGGTGGTAGCCCTCTACTGACTCATATGGGGCCACGGAATCATCTGATTGATCCTCCAAAAGGTAACAAACTTTTTTTTGTAACTCCAGGATTGTCTTAAAAAGATGTTTTGTCATTTTCTGTCTTTCAGAAATGTTACATATTGGGAATATAGTTTAGCTAGCTTGACATTTTTGTGAGTCTACAAAATCGGGGTAACGTTGCACCAAAGCATGTTCACACAAATCCAGCTAAAAATTTATTTTTAATGCAATGACGAGTGCAAACAGACTATTGATGTAACAACGGAAATAAGACTGGAAAGGCAGGGTGAATGCTAGACATCCCTAAAGGTGCCCATACACCTTACGATTATCGGACGATAATCGTATGCGATCGACTTTTCGTCCGATAATCGTATGTGTGCATTGCAGTGTCCGACCGACAATACTGTATAATCGTCCGACTTTTGACGGTCAAGCATGTTTGAAAACTTTGCTAGATCGTACGATTGTCGTAAGTTTGTTGGCGTTTCCGTCCGTCAAAAGTCGTACGATGTACACTGCGCTTGCGCTAACGAAAATACGGCAAATCAATTACCGCATTTCGTCCAGGTGCTTTTGGTTAATTACGGCTAAATGATTCTTGCGATCATCGGGGCAGGATGGGGCTGCCGTACGAAAATCGTACGACTATTCGATCGGACGAAAAGTTTCGTCCGATAATCGTAAGGTGTATGGGCACCTTTACACTGGGACATATGGGATCATGTCCCTTACATTGATAAGGGCCAGCTGACTTGACATTATTCTTGCTTGTTGAGAGCATGGCTTCTCTCCTGGTGGTTAATTCCAAAAAACAAAAACAAAGGAGATAATCATTCCCTTTAAAGAGCCTCCAGTAATGACCAACCTGCTCAGACTTTGTTCTAAGGTCATTAACAATGCAGATCACTGCTCACATCCTCTGCTTGCCTTCACCTGGGAGCTCAGCAGGTGCCGATCAGAAGCCCGTCTTTGCTTCTCTTATGTATCTCAAATACATTTCGCACACTGCTGTTCTTCACTCGGAACACTTTAAAACTACCAAAATGGGAAGAAAAGTACACACATAACAGAGGTGAAAGGAGTAATTTGAGGTGATTAGAGTTAACCAAGAGTTAAAGTAACCCTTTTTATTAAATTTTTTTTTTACTTGTAAATTTGGTTTAACTGACATTAAGTGCAGGTCAAAGGGTAATCCTTTAATGTGCACATAAAAAAACTATTGTAAATTGTAACACTAATACTTTTTTACAGCATGTTCATCAATGAACACTGCAGGCTTCAGTTACATAGTAGCCACTGTCTGTGCTCTTGCAACACAGAGTGGGACTAGTCTGTTTTAACTCCTTAAAGTTGGTCCCAGGGTTTCACCAGGTACAGCAATGTGGGAGGAAGTACTGGACGTACAAGTTATGCCCAAGGTTCTTAGATGAAGTTGTTTGGGCATACGGTGTACATCCAAGGCCCTCCAAGTTGTTAAATATCAAGGGGTTAAAAAGGTGGTTGGCTAGAACTAATGCTAAAGTAGAAGAACTTTTTTAAATGAAATTACCAACAGAAATAAACCGATAAGTAATAGTTCTGCCATGAGGTATGTGACCAAACCACTTAAGTTTCTTTTCTGTTTTCATTTCTGTAGATGGGTTTTGCTTCTCTGCTCCAATGTCAACATATCATCCACGGGCATCCATGGGGAAGACTTCCACAAACCAGACACAGAGTTCCCGTTTGAATGAGAGCGATGCTTTGTGTCACTCCTACAAGAATTCAAGAGAGGCTTCCAAAGACTCTAAGGAGAGGTTTTACAGAAATGAACTGTTATGCAACTCTCAGCTGATGGGCACATCAAAAAAGGATGGCCGGCTATCTGAGGAGGCACTTCCTGGTGAAATGGCTGATTATGATTCAGAGACTAAAGTGGAAAAAGAGCGGAAGAAAAGTGGTCTTCCTAGGGTGCCTAAGATTGGGGACCATGTTTCTTCATTCATTTCTGATCAAGCTCGGATCCATTGGTCAGGAAGCAGTGAAAAGTCTTCACACACTCTTCCGACTTCTCTAAGTAGTTGTAATCATGGCAGTGATTCATTTGTTAAAACACTTAGCTCTGAGGATGACAGATGTGTCAGAGATGCAAGCAGGCATGATGAAAACGTAAGGACTTTGTTACCTGCAAATTTAAGTCGAGCAAAACGTAGTGACTCTGCTGTGACACCAGCTAAGACTTTAAATGTGTTGTGCAGCTGCTCTTCATTACATCCCTCAAATTTGTTATGTAAAATAGGCTCCTCTTCCCCAGTGCCTGCACAGCCTCTCCACACTTCCATGTACAACATCAAACTACACAACAAGGACAGTGATAAGATAAAGACTATAGTAGCACCAACTTGTGAACCTCGTTATGAGGTATTGAAGGAACAGAATAATTCTTCACCAGTTGGCTACCAAATCCATGACTTTAAGGGAAAAGAAGTTGGCAAGCTGGATGAAAAGGCGGAATTCTCATATTCAAATTTTCTCCAGGACGTTTCTAACAATGAACCTAAAAGGGTGGAGGTATTTAGGGAGAAGGGGTCTGTAATTTGCTGTAACTCCTCCGTAAAAAGCCATGGTGTATCGGATTCCTTAATAGACACTCCCACATTTAACTCTTTACAAAAAACATTCGTATCTGCCAAGGATGCTGGTGCTACCTACTGCAGGCAAGGTGACCATTCTAAAGAAAAATGCAAGATTTCTGGGTTTTTAGATTCTCATCAGCACACAGGACATTCCGTTGCCAACATCCCAGAACAAAAAGCAAAACATTTAGAAATCAGTGATATGTCTTCACAAAGGGATGGTTCACCAGCACAACATTTCACAAGTCATGGAAAAGAGGAAGCAAAGAAACTGTGTACAGAAACAAAGACTTTGGGTTCCAACAAAGCCCTTTCTGATTTCTCTTATCCGTCGAGTCACTCTGAGGGCTGTGCCATGCAGAGCCTTATTAAATACAGTGGGAACTTTGAGAAAGAGGCAGCTTTTTGGAAAAGTAGCGACAAAAAAAGCCCCTTTGGGGGACTTGGAAGCATGAAGTTGAATGAGTCTCAAGGAAAAACTGCAAAGGGGCAAAGTGTGTCCCATCAAGATGTTAAGAGAGACCCAGATAGACCTGGAAGTACTAAATCATTTACAAAGGATACAGTGGGTTTCCAAGGAGAAGTAGAAGTGCGTAATCCACCTGTAGGAATTGCCGTGGCTGTTGCCCGACAGAAGGACAATAATGGAAATAAATCTGTCTCATCTAAAGGTAAGGTCATTTTGTGTCTGTTAGTTTGTTACTGCTTTTTATGTGATCCTACTGAGTAGTTTTGTTACAGTGTTTTGTCAGGTTTGGATAACGTGGGGAAGGAATAGAATAGTCCTGATACTTTTTAGAGTGTGGAAAAAAAAAAAACTCGAGAGACCTGTTACCCCCCCAATTAATTAAATGCGTATTTCCAAGATAAAATTCCTAATTTATTGGTTTAAATAAACTTTTTAATTTGAAAACCTACTTTCATGAGCTGCTGAAATTATAATGCTGGGAATTACAGCAACTTAATTTTTTGTGTCATGTACAGTCAAGTTTCTGCATTTATTGATGTAAAATGAAATTTAAGTAATGGTAACTTAAGAAAATGGACTTGGTAACTCAGTTTTGCTCTACGTCAAGTCTCTTTCCCCATTCACCTGCACAAAACAAGTAGAGGCATGTTAGAGGAGCTGCTGTACACGGCACAGAGATATAAAAGACATTTTCAAGGTGAGAATAATTTGCTTTACAAAGAAACTCTACTATTTAGAATGTCTTCTAGCCTATAGCTTATGGACAAATGGTAAACAGGCAACTCTGGCTAATTCATTGTACTAGACACATAGTGCTGGTTTGTATTTAGCTATGTAAACTAACCATCCTTGCCTTGTGTCAGTGTTTCGGATTTATAGAGTGCCATTTGCGAAATCTGCTAAGCTAGAAAGGACTTCATGTGTGTGAGGGGGACCGTGTATTTTAATGAAAATAACAAGCATGTTATACTTACCTGTTCTGTAATGGGTTTGCCGACCAACCAAACTGTTGTGTTTTTTTTTTTTTTGTTTTGTTCGCTGTCAAAATACAATAGCGTTGCAGTAGAGATTTTCCCATCAACACTGTTAGGGGAATATATTAAAAGTGGAGCAGACAAAATCTGGAGCAGCTGTGCGTTAATTTTTTTTTTGTTGAGCCAAAACATTATTATTTAGAGAGCAGCTATCGGAGGCTTTTGCTGGAGAGATTTTCCTGGTGACAAGTGGGGGAAAAGTCTGAATGTGTATTATACATTTCTCTGTACCGTAGTGGCGGTAGTTGGATGGAATAAACTCGAGGCATTTCAGCCTCGAGCCTTTCTGCTTTATCAGGAGTAGCTGAGGCATTGGTATGATACTGAAACCCTCTTAGATCCAACAAAATGGATGTATCTTCTAAAAGTTTGGTGGGCAAATGCATGGATACTAACGGACCATTCCCTCCTATCGGAATCAATGCTGACAGAGCCCCAGATAGCCACCACACTGGCCCGCTGTTGAGGGAGGAGTAGGAGTGCTCTCCTTCCACACATTACTTCCACTGTTACACCAACATCAAGATTTTTTTTTATCATGCATTGTATCCTATCGAGGAGTGTTGCGTTTGAAATAAATGCGGTGGTTATCTGCAGCTCTGCCAGCACTGATTCTGATAGGGAATAAAGGTATATAAAATGAGCCAATTGTTTGAATTGTACGTGCTATGTGTTTACTATTTTAAACTGCTGTGTATAAAAATAAGAGCTTCTTTTTTTGTAAGCTTATATATTTGAATGCGTACCTTTTTAAAAAAAAAAAAAATTCCTAATTCTTTCGGATCTCATTCTTTAAATCTTTATTGTGCAGCTGACTATGACCATTTTACAATGGGGATTGGATGTTTGTAAAGTTTTTTTAAGGGTGTTTGCCAGAGGTAACCTGTGTTATTTTGTTAAATATTGTATCCATGTAATGTAGTGACTTTAATATATTTAGCTTTTTTTGTTTTGTTTTTAGCATTATGTCTGAGGGCTACATGCCCTGCAGTTCTGATATCGATTACCTCTAGAGCAGTGATTCTCAACCTGTGTAACCTCAGGACCCACATTTGTCCTAGGCCATTAAGTTGAGACCCAGGTTGCACTGCAATGGAACGCACGGCATTAGTGTACCGCGCATTCTGGTGCAGGCATATAAACTGTGGGTAGGAGGTGTATTTAGGGTACCATTCAAATAAATGGCAATGCAACACACCTCCCACACCAGAATGCACAGTAAGTGCGATTACGTTAGTCCCACAATACTATGTGGTTAACACTGTACTAGTGTGAACGGGCCATCAAAAACACTGACATACATACACAATTTCACACACTCAGACATTCTCATACATACTCCAAAAATCTTTTAATTTTTTTTTAAGGTCCACCCAGTCTCCCTACCTTATGAGAACTGGAGTGGATCCCCAGCCTGGGTTCCAGTGTGGGCTGCTGTGCTGTGCAAGAGCTCCAGACATATGTGCATTGCTTGTACAGATCTGCTCCAGGCACCTCTATAGGACACGTGAGGGAGCTGTAAGCAATGCATGTATGGATGGAGCCCCCTCCTCACGGCCATAGCCCCATTCCATCTCAAGCTGACACTTGGCACCCGGCACAATATTTTGAATGGCTGCTTGGCGCAAGAACTGACAATGCTGCGCTAGGAGAAGGCAGAGGAGCCTCTCACCTAGAAAAGTGGAAGGCATGCGGTGACCCACTTTTGGGTCATGACCCACCAGTTGAGAACCAAGGCTCTAGAGGCCATCAGGGCCGGATT